CTTACAGAGGGGTTGGCTGACCAAATCCCCACCGATTCAATGGGAATACTCTAGTGAGACTTGCCACCTTGACAAACAGGATGCCAGCCACTGTGTTATACCTATGGCATACTTTTGTGTGCAGGCAACAACTACTGTAGATGTAAAAGGTCTTGCCAAAACAGCATACAAATCGAAATAGGAAAGAACCAGTGTTTTTTTTGGAGAAAACAGCATGGAAGATTTGGGGTGGGGGGGGGAGAGATCCACACTTCTCTAATTTATTGATAGTATCTTCATAATGTACACATAATAAGCTGAAGTTGCAAGATGATCAGTCAAACGACATTACCTCCCTTTGCAATGTCAGGTCCTTAAGATTAACCTAGTAACTTTTCCACAACAAGTGCAGACAGGCTGGCAGAGATGTAATCCTTTATGAAGAACACCATGTTAAGTGCTTTATATGGAGTAATGCAAAACATTTCACTCATTCGCTCTCTAAACCTAATAAACGTACTATCCTGAGTAATATATTATGAGTTGTAACATATTTTCATTAGCATTTTGCACAGTCAACCCTATGAAAAAAAATTCTAGGCTATGAAAAAAATGCAGAAAAAAAATCACAGTACTAAAATAGCATGATACATATAAATGTGCCCTCCTGGACTCTTTTTTTCAGTCCACATTCTAGACTAAGCTAAAAACAAAGGTCAAAATAGGGCTGTGGCAATGAAGGGAACACTCAGTGGCTTCCATTAAATTATTTGGGACAAAATAAATTGATTGAAATTGGCATGTGTAATGGAAGAGAGGCACAATCTCCCCTCCCTCCAACAGAGATTACTAGGGGCTTCTGCTTTTCTTCATAATAGTGATTCATTTCTAGATATATAGGTATCCCTGAAGCACAGAGCCCCTTCTTCCACATGCACTCATAAGAACAGGTATGCCTTTTGTACAGTACTGGCACCAGATGTCATTAACCCTGTAACATCAAGAGCTGTCAGCTTCCCAAAAGAATGGAATTGGCTTCAGTGGGCACTGCTGGAGATTATATTAGACTGTTGGTTATATTAGGCTGCGTTTTTACTACAAGCACAGCCTGCTTAAGTTGTTTTAATTGACTTTGCTTTTTCCAAGGGAATTCTAGGAACTGTAGTTTTGGGAAGCATGTCTCTCATAACATGCTTTGGAAGAAGATATTATTCTTAATAATTTCCAAATTTATTTTAGGTTTGTGGTATTATTTTCTCTTGGTTACATTATATATTACCTGGCCATCTATAAGAAGGAACTGAAAACTGGGGCAATAGAATAAAAATTGACCTTTTTTCCAACTGTTTTCAAACTGCTGTCAGCTGCTATAAAAATTGCATCATTCTTAGTTTGGTAATTGCTACTTACAAAACACTGAACTATTACAATGATTGCATGTGTGTGAAATATTAACAGAGATAAGATAAGTTTGATAGAAGTGTTAAAAACGTGTCCATGCGTTTGTAGTCCCAAGAATAGACTACTGTAATGCTCTCCATGTCGAGGCTTCCTTTGAGACTGATGCGGAAGCTCCAGATGGTCCAGAACACAGCAGCCAGGCTATTAACAGGGGTGAAAAGATTTCACCATATTTTCCCCAAGTTGGCCACCTTACACTGGCTACCTTTCTGCTTCTGCATTGATTTCAAGTGCTAACTATTACATTCAAAGCCCTTAATGGTTTAGGTCCTCGATACCTGGCAGAGCACCTTCTTCCACCCATTTCTACCCGTATCACCCGCTCTAGTCAGGCCGGGTGGCTGAAGGGCCTAACGCCAAGAGAAGTCCGGCAGGAAAAAACAAAAAATCGGGCCTTCTGGGCAGTGGCCCCTTGCCTATGGAACAACTTACCTGTAGAGATCCGCCTGGTTCCCTCGCTGAGGGCCTTCAAGACTAACTTGAAGACATGGCAGGCCTTCCCTACAGCCATTACCTAGCCTATCTTCCTTTTCCTTCCCCCCCTTTCTTTTTCTTCTTTTTTCCTTTCCCCATCTTGGACTTGTGACTAATTTGGATTTTACCTCTGTTTATTTTTATGTTATATGTAAACCGCCCAGAGTAGATATGTTCTAGATGGGTGGTATATAAACAAACAAACAAACAAACAAACAAATAAATAAATAATGCAAAATAAGCACATTAGAACACTGAACTGAAAGAATAGAAGAATTAAATTATTAAAAACAAACAAACTGACAAACAAAAAACAACTTTCAGTTTCTTACTGCGGGATATTGTGCTTCTGTATCTGTAATTCAAATCACCAGGAAATGGCCCAATATTGCTGCACAATATCATGCCTATGTTGCCAGCAGGAAAAAAATGCCAAGTTTACATAGCAAAGGGCAACCAGAACATTAACACCATCAATGGCACCAGTCTAGATTCTATACAACATACCTTTTTATGCTCACTACCATTCGCAAAGTGACACCACATAAGAGATAATCGCATAAATGGACTCCTTTTTCCATGGTTAACCACTTCTCACCCAAACATAAAGCAAATAAATAAATAAATAAATGTTGATTTGTTCTGCTTTACAATAATATCATTGTACTCTCAAGCAGTGACAATAAATTTCACAGCACTAAACTGGAATGTTTACATCAAGGGCACACATGGAAAAGATATCCTTTCTTGATCTAACTTACAGAAGTAATTTCTGCCAGGATAATCATTTGAGGTTCTTTCTTTCTTTCTTACAGAAGTAATTTCTGCCAGGTTAATTATTTGAGGTTCGTTCGTTCGTTCGTTCGTTCGTTCGTTCGTTCGTTCGTTCGTTCGTTCTTTCTTTCTTTCTTTCTTTCTTTCTTTCTTTCTTTCTTTCTTTCTTTCTATCTATCTATCTATCTATCATCTATCTATCTATCTATCTATCTATCTATCTATCTATCTATCTATCTATCTATCTATCTATCTAATCTATCTATGAGCTAGTGGACTGGGCAGATGACATAGGGGAAAGACGCTTTGACAAGTAACATGGCCCCAAACTGTGGAGAGCTTTGTATGTGAAGGTCAAAATGCTGAACCTGATCTAGGATGCAATGGGTAACCAGTGGAGGCAAGCCAGAACTAAAATGCTGAACCTGATCTAGAATGCAGTGGGTAACCAGTGGAGGCAAGCCAGAACCTCCAGTCTGGCTGCAGCATTCTGGACCTGCTATAGTCTCAAGGAAGTATAAATGTTAAACAGCATCAGGGACAGTGGCAACCTCCGGGAAAAACCCATACCTCATGGTCCAAGGGGTCAACACCTCATCTCCTAGCTGAAGACTCTGGACACGATCCTTGAGGAAGGATTGGAACAAATTCAGTGCTAAGCCTCCAATCCCAATCGAGAGCCTGTCCAGGAGGATATGTGGTTGATGGTATCGAAAGCTGCTGAGAGATCCAGAAGCACCAAGAGGGTACATCTGCCCCATCAACCTCCCTTAAATGGTCATCCTGTAGTGCAAGCAATGCTGTCTCAGTACTCCTGCTCCTCCAGGTATGTCTGAAGCTGATTAGCCACCACCCTCTCGATCACCTTGTCCAGGAATGGAATATTGGTGATTGGATGAAAGTTTTTCAAATTGACTGTTGCCAACCAGAATCACTTAATGATGGGACAGATGATGGTTTCTTTAATATGTGAGAGGAAAATTCCCTCCTTTAATTATGAATTTACAATATTCACGACCTGCTCATTCATGGCTCCCTTAGCGGCTTTTATCAGTCACGCTGGGCAAGGGTCAAGCAAGGAAGTGGTAGGCCTATACCTCATCAACACCCTGGAGATTTCCTCGATGGATATACAGTAGGGTCAAACTGATCCTAATAAAATCAAGAAACATTTCTAGCAAAGTGAATAAAGATAACTTGAAATACACAGTCTTCTCTATGACATTAATATGGCACTTACGGGCTTTGCTGGTTGAGATGTACAGTTAAGGAATACAACCTTGTTAATACAGAAGGGATGATTGGATGGTAGTTGAGACAAGGAATCTTGTAGAATGACTGTACAGACTACCATGAAGATTAGCAACTAACTGATGCATAACTGTATCATAACGTTAGTAGCATAATTACTTGCAGCACTGAACATATACAGTAACAACTATCGTGTTTTGTAAATATTCATGAAAAATGTATGATTCTTCTTTCTAACAAAAGGAACATTTATGTTTGGACTCTAAAATTATTTTGATTCATAAAGACTTCAAAACAGTTAAATATTCTCAGCAATTACACATAGGTAACTACTATGAAAAGTAAATGCAGGGAGGATTGGGGGTAGGCAACTCATACTAGCAAATACAAATCTATGTTCTATTGAAAAGCTTAAAAGAATCATTTGTCCACACTGCAGTCATTAGCAAAATGAGCACTGCAGTACTAGCACAGTTTCTCATGTGCAAATGGTTAGAATTGCAAAATTACAGCACATAATGTGACACAACAGGCAACCTCTGCTTTGGAAAGGATTGCATAAAAATTTAATTAGCTTTCATCTCCAGAGATTACAGTTCCCTCCAGGTCACCATTGAGGTTATTGGTGGAGCAATAGGCAACTGCAGCTGCCTCCCCATTGGACCCGGGTTTGCTTAGCTATGCTTTCCAGTGCCATCAGAATAATTCATTCTGATGATAAAAAGAGGGTCACTGTGAAAAATAGTACTGGGTACAACACTGTAATATGACAGATAAGTTTGCCTTTCATCTGACTAATATCTTAAATCGTCTGGCACTCAAAAAGTACTGCTTTCAACGGACTTTCGATCTTTCATTGGCCTCAGTCAGTAGGAAAATAATCAGCTCTTGGTAGGATGAGATGAATACTCAGCACTTCTAGGATAGGCAGAGTCAACCATAAATAATACACTGTTGCCATTTCCCCATACCGCTTTGCACCAGTGTCATGTCCAGCAACAATTTTGTTCACTAACTACACATACTTTCCTCTAATGGCCACAAGGGCCAATATTTCTTACATCATTCAGTTGCTTGGAGCGTCCCGGGGTGGTTGTGAGCTGTCTATTTCCTGCCTTTAATGCCGCATCTCTTCTTGCTTGTTCAAGCAGAACTCTTGCTCTCTCTTTCAGTTCTTCCTGTCTTGATAGCATTCGTAGCTTTAGAAAAACACACAGTGACAAAAAAGACCCTAATTAAGCAATATGCAACATGGTGCTACATTATGATATGGGGGGGGGGGCGGGGAAGAAGCTTCCTACAAAGAGTTGGCCTTCCAGACAACTCTGCACCAGCAATCATACCACAGTAGACTATGTGAAGAAGTGAAATACACTTTCCACAGCCCTAAACATTCTTAAAAGTCAGATAAAGTCCTATGCAAAAAGTCAGCTTGGGACTTCTGGCATAGAACACCTTTCCCTACAAAAGGGACCTGCACATTTAATCGGTATACAGTGGTGCCTCGCAAGACGATGTTAACTCGTTCCACGAAAATCGCTGTCTTACGAAAACATCGTCTTGCAAAACGAAAAAACCCACTGAAATACACTGAAACCGGTTCAATGCGTTCCAATGGGCTGGAAACTCACAGTCCAGCAAAGATCCTCCATAGGGGCGGCCATTTTCGCTGCCTGTAAAGCGGGGAATCCGTCCTGAAAACACAGCGGGGAGCCATTTTGCACAGCGGGTAGCCATTTTAGAACCGTCGATCAGCTGTTTCAGAAAAAACGTTTAGCGAAAAATCAGTTCCCGAAGCAGGGAACCGATCATCGTTAAGCGAATTTTCCCTATAGGAACATCATTTAAGATTAAAAAAATAGATAAAACATGGAGGAAGATTTCTGCCCATTTATGTTATGAGAAAGTCATCTATGCAAGCCATTCATCAGTTTAGCCAGTGATTGAGGTCACACAATAATATACACACCCACTGTCTGAAGAGGTTGCCTCTGAGATCATCTTAGACACTTTTAAGGCATTTCTTGGGGGAAAATAACTGCTCCATAAAAACAATTTGGAAATCCAGGATATTAGCACAGCTACTGATTGGACAATAATGTCTTTACTCAAAAATGAAAGTTTTCGTCAAATAAATAGGTAGTCATATTTTTATTGGGTAGTTATGTTTTTAATTTTTTTAAAAGTTTGTGGGCAATTAAAATGGCATTTTAATTCTACTGCAGGTAAAGTGCATCATAACTATGATACAGGAAGCTAGCTTGCAGCCAAGAAAGTCTGTTACACTAGGCCTGCTAAGTAAGTAACCAAGTAAGTGTTATATATTTTTTTTCTGCCAGAAATCTGAGTAGCATATGATAGCCTAGAAATGCAAGTCATGGGATACCTGAGTTCATGCAGCAGTAATTTCCCTGCTAGATTACTTCAGTGTGCTCCAGGTAGGACTCCCACAGCCATACAACTACAGCCACAGCAATACTCAGGAGCTAGACTACTAACAGAAACCCCTCACAGAAACCATGACATCAATTCTAAAAGAACTGCACTGGATGCCAACACACTTCCAGCCCAAACTGGAGATATTAATAATGACATTTAAGGCCTAGGACCTTCATACTTGGAAATAAGGTCAACAAACGTGCCCGAGGAACCCTCCTCTGTGTCCAACCAGTATGAGCAATACATTAGACACAGATGTGGGAGGTGGCCCAACAGTGCTGTAATCGTGTTACCCCACAGGGGGTCAAAATGCTGGCAGTTCCTCTGAAGCCAGGGCCCTTCTGGATTGCTCCCTGTTAGCTCTGTCAGATCTCTTCCTCTATGTCATAATATGGAGCTTGTGAATACGTGTGCACAATATGTATTCAAAATTATCCACACACACTATAATTGGTGGGCAACACAATAAAAGATAATTAAATATATTTGCTTCTGGCATTACTTACAGAGCAGTAAAAACCAAAACCAGTGAAAAATTGCACTACAGTATATTTATGGATATAAGAGCGGCCATTCTGCTGTATTCTGAAAACATTTTTCTGCTTTCTTACCTGTGCAGTTTTTGTAGGCAGGTCTGTGAATTGTACAGAGGTTTTGATCTCAGATTCTGAATCTGTCTCCATCTGCCTCTGTGAGACAGGTGGCTTTTTATCAGTATCTGCATCCCTATTTTGAGAATGTCCAGATTTATTTCCCATTTCTAAATTTGTTTTTTCAGCATATGTGTCAAAATCCAGTTTCCTCCTTTCTCTGAGGTCTGGATGACCGTGGTTTTCTGGTTCTGAGAAACTAATGGCAGTGGCGGAATTCTGTTGTCCTTTCTTGTCCATATCCTCATGCAGTGTTGTTGGAAACGCATCCCTTTTTGGGTCGTTGACCTGTGCCAAATTGCTCAGATCTAGAGTGTCTGCTTTGAGCAATTTTTTCCTTCCCAACAGAGGTGGTACTGGTGTTATACTACTTTTCTCCGGTTCCTCCAATCCAGATGTCCTTCCTAGGCTCTGCTGGTTTTTCTGTTGCTCCGCATCACTTTTAGTCCTTTGAGAAGAAGAGGAAGCCATGCTGAAGCTCAGGTGATCATCTGGTGTTTGATGCAGATTAGATGCACTTTCCAAATCTGTAACTCTGCTGTCATTCATGCATGCAGAGTCATCCTGAAAAACGAAGTCGGTTAAAGGCCCTTCAAGCTGTCGCTCTTCTGGTTCTCGTTTTAGGTCATTAAGTTCCGCATAGAACTTTTCCTGATCAACAGAGCTGTTTGGGTCTGTTTCATAGTTGCCCACTTTGTAGGTACTTTTGCTACTGTTCTCCTCGATCTGAACCACATTTAGCTCCTGTCCGCTGAAATGTGCTCGTATTTGATAGAGATAAGTCATCACAGATAATTTGTCTGGAATTGCTAACAAAACCATGTCAGAAGGTTCTAGTAGCCGAGATATTCCTAAACTGGCAAACCCGTCATAGGCCTTAAAATAAACAAAAGGAAAATTAGTGTTTCTTTTGCAATAAATGGTAGTCTTAAGAGCAAAGCAATGGATTATACCATTTAAAAACGAATGAACAGGCTAGTAAGCATAGGAACATCTTATACAATACAGTACTATCAGGTGGTATATACAACTTTCATTAAGTCTCCAGAAGTTCACAGTTTCACTTCATTAAAATTAAAAGTTCTATCTGTTTCAAACAAAACAAAACAACAAACTGCTACCACTAAAGTATTGTACTGTTATCAACAAAGCTGTCTGCCATGGCATTATCCTAAAACAAAACAAATACTGATAAAAAATATAAATAAAAAACTTTCAATATCAGTAAGATTGTAGGTTTTGGGAAATAGAATTAATTTGAAGATAGGTAAGCGGAAGATTTAAACTACATGTAGTATGAACATTATGGTAATTAGCCTGATAAACAAGTAGACAGATAAGTATAGAAAAGATTGGTCGTTAAACTGAGGAACTAGTTGGGAGTAAATAAGTGCATTAATAAATCCAGGGGGGAAATGATAGCAAAAAGAAAACAGATGAGGAAGAGATATGAATGGGTAAGTTAAACTTCTTTTAGGTTATAGAGTTGACCTACGAAGGAAAAATGTGAAATTTAAGGGGAAGTTTTTTTTTTTAGGTAGAGCTTCATAATCAACAAAGAGAATATGAAAGTACGTGAGAGTTAGAATGAATTATGACTTCAGTAGTAGATTATCCTAAGAGAACTAATAGGGGTTTTTTTAGATAAAGATTTTTAATCAATGAAGAGAGTAAGAACACATATGAGAATTAGAATGAGATTATAATAATTCATCCTAAAAGAATTAGTAAGTAAATAGCTGTTGATAGTAGCCAGAAATCATAGAGATGGGAAGAGTGACTAATAAACTAGGACAAAGCATAGATAAAATAGAAGAGTATTACATAAATAGACTGGGGTAGAAGGGAACAGAATGAGGAATGTTAGTTAGAAAAGTCCTATAATTTGAATATAAAGGAAGTTAAAATATTAAATAATTTGATTAGGGACAAGATGATCTTTTGGATTTTCTTAGTAGCTGAGGGATTTTTATATTATGGGACCAGAAGGGAGAATGGTAATAAATACATATAGTTAAAAGTTTACAAATGTAATCTTTGAATGTAAAAGACCTGGGAAGTGTTATAAAAGGAAAAGAATGGAGGCATTATTTTAAAAAGGATATGCAAATATCATATATTTACAAGAGCCTCATTAAATGAAGGCAGGTGTAAATGAATTTATATTGAGTTGGTTTAGTATTTATGAGGAAGTTTATGGGAATTCAATGTCAAGAGGGGTTGCAATTATTCTCTCTAAGGAATATGAATTTAAAGTGGAAAAAAATGAAGAATATGTTATAAGGTACAATGGGAGAAGAAAAATATACTTTACTTTTATTTTTATTGTGTTTTGATATTGTGTTGTTTGTCTTGTTGTTAGCTGCCCAGAGTAGCCTGGTAGCCAGATGGTGTGAGGTATAATTCCAATAAATAATAATAATATAAATTAATGGTTATTCTCCAAATTAATATTACAGGTTAGAATAAAACAATAAGGATAACTGATTTGAGAGATGTATGGAGAGTGATGAAAGGAGGTGAAAAGAAATTTACTTTTTGCTCTTCAGTTCATATGAGTTACTCTTGTACAGATTATCTAGGTTGTATCTAAATTTTTAATTTCAAGAGTGATTAATACATTTGTGTGTATTATAAAAGCAACTTATCATACTCTACTGGATATGGCTATTAAGATGAAATGCGATTACAGACAAGCTACAAGATGGAGGATAGATACAAGTATTTTTCAGCAAATGAATATAATAGATAAAATAGAAAAAGAAATGATAGAAATATGAGGAATTAATGATAGAGAGGGTTTTATGTGGGATACTATAACATTTTAACGAGATAAATTGTTATTAGGGAATCATATAATTCAAAAAGCCAATAAAACATGAAAATGGAGGAGGTAGAAATAAGATTGTTGGAGGTAAAATAATGATTAAAAATTCTATTATAATTACAAGCAAAATACTGAAATAGAGAAAATACTGAGAAATTTAATACTGTATATATGAAAAAAAGTTTTTTGAATTTAGTAATAAAAATTCAATAATTTTGGCTAGAGTCATCCATGCATACATGATCGAGCATGCATTTCACTTGTGGAAGACAAAACTAAAGGCATAAAGACCCACGAACAAACAACAAGTGAATACAACTGAAGCAAAGGTCTGGAAAAGGATCATAAAGAAGAAAACCCACTGTTTGGTGATGTCTACACTGTTCCCCCGAAAATAAGACCTAACCTGAAAATAAGACCTAGTATGATTTTTCAGGATGTTTATCATATAAGCCCTACCCCCAAATAAGCCCCAGTTAAGTGAAATCCCAACCTCCACCATTGTGCAACATTGTGCAGCAGCCAGAAGATGATGACATGACTGTATCTGAATAAATGTAGATTGCTGTACATGAAAAAAAAAACATCCCCTGAAAATAAACCCTAATGCTTTTTTTGGAGTAAAAATTAATATAAAGCCCTGTCTTATTTTCGGCAAAACACGTTATGTGTGCCAGAATTCAAGCAGTCATTACTTGCAAACAATTCTCAACAAAGTATTACACATGAACATTTTATTTATGATTGTGTCAATTTGAGGCCCTGAAATAAAGGGAATGTGTATGAAAATGGTTGCAATTCCTAAACGTACAGTATTTGATACAATATTTTTGTTCAGTCCCTTGAATTAAAAATGAAAGTCTGTACTTCGATTGCATCTTCCTTGTTTCATTTCAAATCCATTGCAGTGCCTTACATAGCCAGAATTATTAAATTGTGTCAATATCCTATTATTTCTGAACCATTCATGATGTTGCCAATAAAGATAGTTGAAGAAGAGTTAAAAGACAGGTAAAATATAATTAATGGATTTTATAATAGAAATAAAAAGGCAAGGATTTATTGATTAATTATATTTATATCCTGCCCATCTAGTCATTCGACTACTCTGGGCGGCGTACATCAAACAAAATAAACAATTAAAATAACATCAATATCCGAAAATAATCAATCATTCAAGATGGAAAAAACAAAGAAGATAGATCAAATAGTGCCCCGGGGGGGGCCTGCCTGAATAGCCAGGTTTTTAATTGGCTTTTAAAAATACCCAGCAAAGGGGCCATACAGATCTCTGAAGGTAGATTATTCCATAACTGAGGAGCCACTGCCGAGAAGGCCCGGTTTCTTGTTTTTTCCTTCCGGACCTCTCTCAGCGTTAGGCTCCTCAGTCTCACCTCCTGACTAGATCGAGTGATACGGGTAGATTTTGGTGGGAGAAGGCATTCCGTCAGATAGCAAAGTCCTAAAAAGTTTACGGCTTTGTGTGTAATCATTAAAGTGTGAAATTTACGCGGAAGCACGCGGGCAGCCAGTGCAATGCGGCCAGAGTGGGAGAGATACAGTATGATGGTGTTTTCTCAACCCCCTAAAAAATCTGGCTGCCGCATTTTGTACCGTTTGAAGCTTCCGCATCAGTCTCAAAGGTAGCCCGAAGTAGAGCGCATTACAGTGGTCTAATCTTGAGATTACAAGCGCATGCACTAAAGTGGTGAGCACACCAGCATCAAGATAGGGATGAAGCTGGGCAATCCGCCGAAGGTAGAAGTAGCTGGAGCGGACCACTGACGCCACCTGGGTTTCCATGGTGAGCACCAGGTCCAGATGTATCCCCAAGCTACGAACCTCACTCTTCGTGGTGAGAGTCACCCCCCCAATGAGAGGGAGTTTCCCAAATCACTGCTGGTGGGGCCACCCACCTTCAGTACCTCCGTCTTGTCCAGGTTCAGCCTCAACCCATTTGCCTGCATCCATTGCAGAACAGCCTCCAAGCAGCGCTGAAGGGACAGAATGGCATCTCCTGCAGTTGGTGAAAAGGAGATGTAGAGCAGTGTGTCATCAGCGTACTGATGGCACGATGCCCCACATCCCCTGATGACCCCTCCCAGCAGCCTCATATAGATATTAAACAGCATTGGGGAGACGATCGAGCCCTGCGGGACCCCACAAATGAGGCTCCATGGGGCTGAAACCCTCTCCCCAAGCTGTACTTCAAGAAGGATTGGAGCCAAGCAAATGCCAGGCCACCAATTCCCAACTTGGAGAGCCTCCTCAGGAGGATACAGGGGTCGACGGTATCAAAGGAGGCTGAGATATCAAGGAGGACCAACAGGGAAGTTTTTCATGTCAGCCTCCCTCAACAGGTCATCATACAGGGCGACCAATGCCACTTCTGTACCATGGTGCGGCTTGAAACCTGACTGGAATGGATCCATGACATCTGTTTCATCCAAGTGCACCTGAAGCTGGTCGGCCACCACCCTCTCCACCACTTTACTAATGAAAGAAACGTTGGCGATGGGCCTGTAATTGCCAATATCGTCAACCGCCAAATTTAGTTTCTTTCTTATGGGCCTAATGAGTGTCTCCTGGAGGGCAAGGGGAACCCTGCCCTCAAGGAAAGACCCATTAATTATTGCTATTGCCCATTCTGTTATAAGCTTGGCTGCTTTGATTAGCCAGGCTGGGCAAGGGTCAAGGGATGAGGTGGTGGCCTGACAGCAATCAAGCGCTTTGTCCACAATATCTGTCATCACAGGCTGAAAGAAATCAAAAGTCACCGGGCAAGGCGGAGCACTGGACATCTCTGCTTGACTCACTGTATCCAAAAAAGGAGAGAGCTCCCAGCGGATGGCCTCTACTTTAGATTTTTTAAATGCTGCAAATTGGTCCACTGAGATACTAGGGGAAGGGCCGTCACTTAGACCAATTCCGGATAGGTCGCACACTATATGGAAAAGCTCCGCCTGCTGATTTGAAGCTTCGCTTATCTGGTCAGTGAAGTGTGCTCGCCTAGCAGCCTTTACCTTAGTGAGGTAGAGGTTAGTAGCGA